ATGTGACAAAGAAACAGAGTCTGGATGGTCTGTGTTTGGACAAGACACTACCACTTCAAAGTCCCTCCTTTTGGCTTGTCCACGTTCTTGTAAATCTTCACAAAGTGCCATGTGGTGGTGGCCCTTTCTTATAAAAACATTAAATTATTTTAGGCACCGCTTGAGCTGGACTGGCTTATCAGTCTGCCACCATCTCTATTTAGAAACAATTCCAGTTATAAAACGTTCCCAACTCTCAAAAGTGTCTCTTCCATCCTATCCTTCGACAGCTAAAGAAATAATAATCTACATAATCCGTGGATAATCGGTGTTGAAGGGGGAAAAAATTTCTTTTTGAAGCCAGTGTTGCTGCATGGAGTGCCAAGGCTGAAGGACAGATGGCACCCTCATTTCAACAGATGGAACATCTATTCTGTGAATATCATCTTTGCCGGGGTGAAGTGGAATCCCAGGTGTATTACTGGACTTGTCTCTTCCACGTGGGAGTGTACTGCATCACTGATGAACCAGAAGACTGAGGAAACAGATGCATATTTAATTGCATGATTTATCAAAATCCGGGAAAAGACTGACTCCACCATGTCTGAAGAACCAAGAAAAGTAAAAAATTGTGAAACAGGAAAGAGGAGGAGAGGTGGATTATGGGAAAAATATAAACTAACCCAGAACATTATTTTTCTTTAGGTATGATAAAAGTGTGTTGCAGATGAATTGCTCACATTGGCTATGTTCAAAAATCAGGAGTACAATCTAAAAGTAAGAATGAAGAGTTATTTTCAGTAAAGCTAATTCACACAGAGGGATGAATGCATTAAATAAATTACCCAAAGAGGTGGAATTTGGGGTCAAGGAGCTGTTTTCCCAATCAACTGTCAACTGTTTGAGTTGGATGAATATGTGAATGGAAATACAGTCTGGAGGGTAAAGCAAAGGACTAGGACTTGGGGACTTTGGTTCAACTTCAGTCCCTGGGACAGGCTTCCTGTGTTGTCTTTGACAAGTCACTCAACCTCTTTGTGCCTCAGGTTTGTTATTTATACATCGGGCGTAATAAAATTGTTCTACTCCACCTGTGTACTAAACTAAATTAATTAAAGTTTGTAAATAGCCTTGAACTCTTCAAATAGAAGACACCACAGAAATTATTCATAACACAAAGATCAAGAATATTATTGGGCTTTCATGAACAGAGATTGTCTCTGAATCACAGCTATTTAAGAAACAAGTACCGAATATATGGAAAGGAAGATGATTTAAACTTAAGTGTAAAACTGCATTCCTCCTTCCCTTTTCTTTACCCTCTTCTGGGGCTGAGTAAGCTATTTAAGTGAACTGCAGTGCTTCACCTTTTGTCTTCTCTGCTGAGACTAGTTGCAGTGAATGAGATAGATGTAACTAGTGCCCTAGGGCTGAGCTGCCCCATTTCCACTGCCTGTGATGCTGCTGTTCAAGGACCTGACCAATTAAAAGATTTTTTTTTAAATTAAGGAAACTTTTCTCCCAAGTTTCTCTTGTCCTTCCTTACATTGCCTGGCAGGCATTATCATTTCCAGATATCTGTTCTGCTGCAGTTAAGGGCATTGCTTACTTCTGATTCCTCTGGTCTTCTTGTCAACCTGAAATGGCCATAAGAAGTAATATGGAGGCTAGTGCTGAAATGAAATGGTCACACTGTAAGTCAGTACAACACATAACTCCAAAGGAAGTGTAACCCATTTTACAACTTTATTTTCCCAGTTCAAGTTACTGATGGTAGCAGATTACAATATGGAGGGAAATCTAGACTGCAATGCAATTCCAGTATGGGACAAATAAATGCCTTCATAGGGGGTAATACTTTCACAAGTGGACTAAGTCTAGAACAGTGATACTGAGACTCGTTCATGTGTCTCCTGCGGCTCTTTGCAGCACATAATATTAAAATACTGTGTGATTTAATTATTAACCAATCTAAGTTATTAACCAATCAAGATGCTTTTTCTATGTTATTAACCAATTGAAGCTGATAAAATAATACCTGATTAGTCATTTTTCTGTGAGAATATATATAATAAATATAAATATAAACTAAATATTTCCCCTGTCATACTGTTTAAATATGAATATATAGTACTATAGTAAATGAAACAATTAATTCATACTACTGTGGCTCTTTTAGGTAATGTTGATTGCTAATTTGGTTCCTGAACCACTGAGGTCTGAGTATCACTGGTTTAGAGGATCTTGCACTTATTCATTATATTATCAAACATTGGCATGTATAGTTGATAGGAACCATACCAAGTCATCACCTTGAATACTTCAGAGGGATTTTTTCATAATTGATTTAGGGCAGTGCTGAGTGCTTTTGAAAATCCCACTGTTAGCTTATAACTTGAGACAGTGATGCCCATATACCAGGGGTGACCAAACTTGCTGACCCTCTGAGCCGCATATGATAATCTTCATAACCTGGGCATGTCTGCCGGGACTTGGGGCTCCAGCCCTGCGAGGCTGCCTGCCAGGGATTGGGGCTGCCCCACAAAGCTGAAGCCCCAAGCCTCACCATCCCACTGCAGGGCAGAAGCCGTGTGTCCCATCCCCCCACCAGTCTGGTAGGCAGAGAATGGGGGGCATGGTGGGCTCCGCAAGCCGCACTTTAACTGTAAAAGAGCCACATGTGACTTGCGAGCTGCAGTTTGACCACCCCTGCCATATACAGAATATTGTTTGACTACTTTTGTACCCTCCCAGGGCTGTTGAAAAATATTTCCTCTGAACTCAGACCATTGCCTTTGAATGTATTGTAGTCTATATAGCAATCTCAAATTCCTATTAGACTGTGCCTCCATGTTGCTTAAAGACATCCTAGCCATCCAGCGGACCAAATTCGGTGATGAATCCTGGTCACGTGCAATCTGAGGCACGTTGCTCATACGCTAAGATGAAGCCTGAATTTAGATGTTTCTGACTCCCTTAAAAGAGTGGGTTCTTAAATAAGAGATGGGAAAGGTGTGACTTTGGATGCACACTTAGGCTTGGTCTACACTAAACCCCCAAATCGAACTAAGGTACGCAACTTCAGCTACGTGAATAACGTAGCTGAAGTCGACGTACCTTAGTTCGAACTTACCGCCGTCCAGACCCGGCAGGCAGGCTCCCCCGTTGACTCCGCGTACTCCTCGCGGCGAGCAGGATTACCGGAGTCGACGGGGAGCACTTCTGAGTTCGATTTATCGCTTCCAGACTAGACGCGATAAATCGAACCCAGAAGTTCGATTGCCTGCCGCCGAACCAGCGCGGTAAGTATAGACAAGCCCATGGTGACATGTATAGAGGCAAATCAAAGGGCTTCAAATTCCGCCAAGCACTTAGAATAAGAACGGAGTGTGCAGTGAAATTATTATTTCCACAGCTGATCTTAAATGTGATAAACAAGGCTGAAACAGTGCAAGTCAAACCAGACTTTACCTCCAAGGATGTTCTTTATCTAAAATCTTTCCAGTGACTAATCTTTCCAATATCTTTAAAGATTGGAGAAAGGAAGAAGGAAAAGCTCCATACCAGACTGACATGCTGCTAGAGCTGCAGCAGCTGTTGTGCCTTTAGGTCACATTATTGGTTTGTATTGCTTGTCTGGACAGCAGTACAGTAGCTGATTATGTTGCTCTTTTTGCCCTGGGCTCCAAGCATTGAATCCTTCAGAGCTAAAAACTCTTTATTCTTTGAATGAACACATTATAGATTGGGCCCATGTATCTCGGAAGTTTTTCCTCTCTAACACTGGACTGTTTACCTTTGTGAGTTAAGAAAATCAATTACCACTATTTCACTCTTGTTCTGTTTTCCCTGAAAACAGTTTGGCAGGTGGGAGTTAGTGTCAGAACCTTTGTCTGTTCATTTATATGCTCATCAATTCATACCGAAAGAGTGACAGCAAAACCTTAATGACAACCTCTGCAGTACTAAGGTAGAATAATGTTACTCATGTGGAATGTGTGACAGCCAGGTGTGCCACTTTCTTGATACAAGAGGGCATGAAGTTGGAGATAAAGTTTTGCATTAGAGTGCAGCCTAGGTGAAAGAGTGGTATGTATTGCTTTTTGGTAACTGTTGGAAGTAGAAGTGAATGTTTTGTACAATGTAAGAGTATGTTATTGACATCATTGTAGATTATTTGAATGCGGCAGTGAATCCTGAAGACATCCCTTAACTTCTTCCTTCCATACTTTTATGGTTTTCGTTGAGTGGAGTGTGCCTTGTTACCTTTGTTTATGTTATCGTAGATGGATGAGATTGCCAAAAAGCCTAAGGGCAATTTTTTGAAAATTTTAATGGGACTTTTGTGACTAAATCAACTGGGCTGCTTTGAAAAATCCACCATATATGGCCAGCATTTTGAAAAAAGAATGCTCTTAAATCCATATTGAGATCCCTAAATAAATGGCCTGATTTTCAAATGTATTAGGCAACCAGCAACTCCTGTCGATATTAGTGAGAATTGCTGAGAGCGCAGCACTTTTGAAAAATCAGGCCATTTCTTCAGGCACATAAGTATGGATTTATAGGCCTAATTTTAGGCATGAATTTTTAAAAATCTTGGCTATATACATACCTATATAGAGATACATACTACTGAACATGGGGATTGTGAAAGCACCACCTAGAGCCAGAGAATGCAGGTAGGTGTCATGGAAGTTTCTTCCACAGAGCTCTATCTCAATCTTGAACTGCACTACCCCTCCTAGAGTTACTACTGGCCCTCTTCTGAGGAATCATATTGAATTTTGTGGTGGTTTTGTCAGAGGGAGAACATCCTCTCTGAACTAATTTGAGGCTTTAGATACAATTTTTGCTGTACACTAAGATTATCCTTAATCTTGGTGGATGAACTGTGAAAAGAGGTTTGTAGCAAATGAACAAACTTCTGCAGTCTGGCAAAAAGATTTAGAAACATAATTCAATTGTGCAAACTATTAAATTGTAATACCAATAAATGAACACACTGTGGACCAGTTCAGTATCATTCAGATTATTTATTTTCTTAATGTGGACAACCTTTAACTTTGATGGTTTAATTAACTTTTTTTCTTTTAAATTTCTTAGAGCCCTTGGCTGAGAATTCTCACACTAATCTGGGTACATGTGGGGAACAAAGGAAGGGAGGAGAATTTCCATAGTGTGTGTGAATGTGCTTTACAATTCTTGAATGTATATTTACACATTGACTTTACACTGAAGTCTGTAAGAAGTCTTTTCTATGGAGTGGGGAGGGAAAGAATCAAATGACCAGAGATTTAGGCCCATTTGATCCATGTGAGATTTTCCAGTATAGTCCCACAGAGCTCGTCTGACATTCAAATATGCCATAATTTCACTGAAACAGTACTATATCCAGTAGTATTTCTGTACGAGATGAAACCTGGAACTGAGGAATGCATCTCTTCTGTTTCTTTAATTTCACTAAACTGCAAATAATTTAAATTATTAAATTCAAATATCAAGACATTTAGTTATTGTTCATATCGCTCATCTGTTAACCTTCTAATAATACATCACATTTTTTAAATAAAAAACAACAAAAAAGACTTTAGAGGCTATATAATACACAGTCTCATTGGCTCCAGCTCCCTGGGAAGGCTGTTACAATATCACTGTATTTCCCAGAATTTCTTTGGAGCAATGGAGCAGAATTGTCCATTGGCAACTTTCACACTCAGCAATCCGGACACTAAAACGATAGTTTAAAAAATTACATTGTGATTTTTTAAATTTTCTTGTATGTGTCTGTGTTAAAAAAAAGAACACCGCTTTTTTCGACTTTCAGGGTTGGTTGGTTTTTTTTGGTGAAACACCACAAGATTTGGCAAAAAAAGATGTAAAGAAGACTCTCGATGTATAAAATTCCTCACCAGTAGAAGAAACACTGACCTTGATTTGGCCTAGTTTTAATTAATTATTTCATTCATGTACTTTTGCTGCATATTTTGAAGCTTTGAAGAAAGGGCTAAAGGTCAGGCTAGAAATCATAGAACAGTTCTGTACCAACAATTCCTTTAACAGGAAGGATGTCCATGACACATAATGAAGCAGAGCAGAAATGTGTAAACAGTATATGCTGCGAGTTGTGTGCATCTCTATACATGATGTGTGTGTATATACTGTATGTGTGTGTGCGTGCCAGTATGATGGATACGTGTTCCTTCTGTACAGCTGTAAGGAAGGCTTTACTGAAATTCTCCTGTTCTGTTGCCTTTAGATTGGAACTAGCTTTTCTCCTAGAAAAAAAAACTGCAAGGCAGGCCCATCTCCCATTCAACAGCTCTGCATCTTCCTCGCAGTAAAATGGTTCTTAGGACAGTTGAATGAAATATTATTTCTTACATAGACTATGGTAGCTCTGCCATTTGAGGAAAATGAAATGAAACAAACAGAATGAGCCAGCGCTGATTGTGGTGATAACATTTCCACACAGTTACACTTCAACTTTTTTTTGGAGCCTTTGCACCCTGCAAAACATGTATTTTTGAAAAAATGTTTGTGGCGAGGATAAGAGGGATGTGGGGGGGCTGTGAACATAATTCAGCTTTCCCCCTTCCTCTCCTTGGGCTTCGAAGTACTGCCCCATTGTTTCCACCACAAATGGAGGTGGTAAGCCCCTTTTGTGTCACCTCAGGAAAACAGATTGAGGCCCATGGATTTTTAGCAGAGGCCAATATATTTGAGATTGTTCTGAATGATGACATCTGTCACCGCATCAAAGACAAATTGGATATTACTGGTATCAGTGGCACAGGTGAAGTGCGAGTAAATCTCCTTGGTCTCCTTGTTGCGATTCAAGTCCTCAAATTGGCGTTGGATGTAGACTGCTGCCTCCTCGTAAGTGTTTTGGCCCTTGTACTCAGGAAAACAGACGGTTAGCGGGATGCGCCGGATTTTTTCTGCCAGAAGATCTTTTTTATTCAGAAAGAGGATGAGGGAAGTGTTGATAAACCAGTTGTTGTTGCAAATGGAGTCAAAGAGACGCAGGCTCTCTGCCATTCGACTCTGCAAGGAAGGAAACAACGTCAGCAACAGTATGTGAACACAACTATATAAAATACATAGAAATACATAATCACAGCTGTTAGTGAACAAACTCCCTTTTGTTTAGAATGTTTGTATCTGTTTCTCATTCCAGCTCCCTGTCTGACTGTACATCTTACCTTGGGATGAATTTTCAGGAACCTTAATTCACTTAAGCTGACATATTGCAGCTCACTATTGATTACAGCTTCATTTAGTTTGATTTAATTTTTTTAATAATGGGTAACAGAGACAAAGTCAGACTGAAGTTTTTAAGAACAGCTGCTGTAGTTCTTCACTGTTTTCCACAATCAAGCTAGCATTACAAACACATTTTTGGGCTGCAATGATCAACAAGCACATAATTTTACAAAAATAGAAGAGTAGGTTTATAGCCAGAATAGAATAATAGAATCATAGAATATATCAGGGTTGGAAAGGATCTCAGGAGCTCATCTAGTCCAACCTCCTGCTCCAAGCAGGACCAATCCCCAACAAAATCACCCCAGCCAGGACTTTGTCAAGCTGGGCCTTAAAAACCTCTAAGGAAGGAGATTCCACCACCTCCCTAGGTAACCCATTACAGTGCTTCACCACCCTCCTAGTGAAAAAGTTTTTCCTAATATCCAACCTAAACCTCCCCAACTGCAACTTGAGACCATTACTCCTTGTTCTGTCATCTGATACCACTGAAAACAGCCTAGCTCCATCCTCTTTGGAACCCCCTTTCAGGTAGTTGAAAGCAGTTATCAAACCCCCCTTCATTCTTCTCTTCTGCAGAGTAAATAATCCCAGTTCCCTCAGCCTCTCCTCATAAATCATGTGCTCCAGCCCCCTAATCATTTTTGTTGAGCAGTGGAATTCACACCTGTCTGAGTTAGCAGCCAAAGAAAGAATAGCTTATTGCTGTAAAGATCAATGATATGAATCCAAAGAAATTCGGATCCTGTTTCTAGATATATTTGAATAAAAAATGTTGAGATGGCTCAAAGAATACCACACCACCATTCCACCTAACCTCTTCTCTTTCCCCTTCCCCGCTGGTCCATTCCTCCCTTCCCTTTCCTATTTATGTATGTCTTCACCTGTTTTATTACAGGTATCCCCAACCTAACAAGTTATGTCTATGTAGTATTGCCCGGTCTTGAAGCTTTGACAAGTTGTATATACAAATTATGCAATTGTACTTCATTTTTTAATTGATCCTGTTTGCTCCTATATTTCCTTTCCCCTTTAATAATAGTAACTTTGGAAGGGTATATATAAAAAAGTATATTTTCCTCCAGAGGGCCAAATCCTAGTCTCAGACAGAAGGGGCAACTCAAAATGAAGACAGAATTTGGCTAAAAGGGTTTAGTAGACACCTCTAATCTTCCACTTGCCACTCTAAATTAATAAGTACCATTGACAACACATTGGAGTGACTGACAGGAACTGTTTATTTTGGAAATACCAATTTAGTCATCATCATCAGTGATCCCTCGATTCAAGGATGATCTCTACAACAGATTTACTATGTGTCCTTAGATGACAGATCCACTCGCAGTAGGTATAGACATTTCGTGGCAGGCCAGATGCCTGCTGGGAAAAAGTTGTTTCTTTTTCCTTTCTTTTCTCAATCTTTTCAACTTTGCGGGCAAGGTACTTTTCCTCAAAGCGAGCCACTGCCTGATGGAGGATGTGGCGCATTGGGGTCAGTTGATGGCTTGCTCCTCCCAGCTTATGATGTCCATCCACATCAGTTTTCTTGAGATATGCTTTCAGTGTGTCTTTGTAGCGTTTCCTCTGACCACCACAGGATCTCTGAGCATGGGTGAGCTGAGACTAGAGGACTTGTTTTGGGAGGCAAAAGTCTGGCATCCGCACACAACGTCCAGCCCAGCGGAGTTGGTGAATGAGGATCATTGCTTCAATGCTGATGACATTGACTTCAGTGAGGAGGCTGGCGTTAGTGCAGCGATCTTTCCACTTGATACGAAGGATCTTCCGGAGGCATCAGTGGCGCTGGAACACTTTTACTAGTGGGGTTGCTGAAAGCCAGCCCCCTTACCCCTGTCCATCCACCCCCCCCCCAAGCTGGGGCCAGGAGCAGGACCATGTCTATAGGAGGGGGTACCCGGATGCGGTAAGGGGGCCAAGGTTGGGGGTGGGTGCAGGGCCAGCAGCTGGGACCCCACATGTGGGGTCAGAAGCAGAGCCCTGCGTGCGGGGCCTAGAGTGGGCCCCGGGCGTGGGGTGGCAGCTGGAAGTAGAGCCCCACACGCAGGGCTGGGACCCCATTGGCGGGACCGGGAGCAGAGCCCCAGGTGTGGGATGGCAGCCAGAACCCTGCGTGCAGGGCCAGGAGCAGAGCCCCAGGTGTGTGGCGGAAGCCGGGATCCTGCATGCAGGGCCGGGTGGGAGCCCCGGGTGCGAGGCCTGCAGCTGGGACCCCGGTGTTGGGGGCCAGAAGCAGAGCCCCAGGCCTGGGGCTGGGACCCCACATGTGGGCCTGGGAGCAGAACCCTGTGTAAAATCTGGGGGTGCAGCAGCACCCCCCTCACCCCTAGTTCCTGCACCTATGGGAGGCATCATTGGTGGTACCTCTCCAGACTCTTGAAGTGCTGTCACCCAGGTTTTGCATCCATAAAGGAGGGTAGGAATAACAATTGTCTCATAGACCTGGATCTTGATGTCCTGCCATAGGTCATGGTCTGTGAAAACGAGTCAGAGCAATTTTGCAAAGGAAGCACTTGCACAGTAGATCCTGTGCTGGATCTCACTGTCAATTTTTGCATTTTGAGAAAGTTGGCTACTGAGGTAGCAAAAGTGCTCGACTGTCACCAAAGTCTGTCCCTTGATGGTGATTTGTGGTGTGTCATGTGCAAGGCATGAAGCAGGCTGACAGAGCACTTTAGTGTTCTAAATATTGAGTGAGAGTCCTAGGCTTCGGTAAGCTTGTGCCAAAAAATCCAGTGTAGACTGAAGGTCATTCTCAGTGTGTGCAAGGATAGCACAGTCATCAGCATACTGAAGATCAGTAATGGACACCCTGAGGACTTTAGACTTCGAGCGGAGATGTCGAAGATTAAAAAGCCATCCATCCATTCTGTATTGAATGTCAACTCCATTGGGGAGGATCTTTAACGAGGACCAAAATGACTGCTAAATAGATGGAGAACAGGGTTGGGACAATAACGCATCCTTGCTTAAGTTTTGATGATGAAAGGGTCAGTCTCAAGGCCATGACAGAGAACAGTGGCATTCATCTGATCATGGAGAAGCCTTAGAACCGTAATAAATTTTGGAGGGCAGCCAAATCTGGCCAGCACCTTCCATAGGGCTTCACGATTGACTGAGTCGAAGGCCTTTGTCAAATCAATGAAGGCCATGTACAGGTCCTGATTTTGCTCCCAAGACTTTTTCTGGATTTGGCAAGCAACAAAGATCATGTCAGTTGTCCCATGGGATGGTCTAAAACCGCACTGAGAATCTGACAATATTTCCTCAGCAAGGAGAAGTAATTGGTTTAAGAGGATACAGGCAAAAATTTTCCCTGCTGTAGACAGCAAGGCAATGCCTCAATAATTTCCACACTCCGTCGTATCTCCTTTCTTAAAGATTGTAACAGTGTTAGCATTTCTCAAGTCTTCTGGAATCTTTTCATTATACCAGATATGAAGAAAAAGTTTGTGGAGCTTACTTACCAGTTTTTTACCTCCAAACTTGTAGACTTCAGTTGGTATGCCATCTGGTCCTGCTGCCTTGTTGTCCTTGGTTTGCATAATGGCTTGTGTTACTGCTTTGAGGGTGGGGAGGTCAGCAAGAGATTCCCTTTCATGTCGTTGAGGTATAGATTCGATAGTGGCATCAGAGACAGTTGACTCACGATTCAGGGGTAACTCAATATGCTCCTTCCATCTGACTTTGATGGCTTTGCTGTCCTTAAAATATGTCGACCCGTCTTGGGCTCAGAGTGGTATGGGACCATGGGAGCATGGACCGTAAATGGTCTGTACTGCCTGAAAAAAGCTCCTCATGTCATGTTTATCAGCGTAAAGCTCAATCTCCTTGGCCTTTTCTCGCTACCATTTATTTTTGGTGTCATGGATTTTCCTTTGGGCTTCAGCCTTGAGTTGCTTGTATGACTCTTTCTTCTGCTGGTGTAATATGTCGTTTTGCCATAGCAATGAGCTTTTCTTTTCTGGTCGAGCAGGCCCTGAATCTCAGCATCATTCTCATCAAACCAATCTTGGTGATGGTGGGTGACATAGCCGATGAACTCAGCACATGCCAAGAGAATGGTAGTCTTTAATCCTTTCCAGAAATTTTCATTATCATCATCAACTGTAGGCATAGCAGCAAACCTCTCTTGGAGACACTGCTGAAGTTTCTCTCAAGTCACTATATCTTCAAGGGACTGGATGTTGAATTTCTTTTATACTGATTTTGCCTGGTTGCAATGCCTTGAGGCAATCTGGAAATTCATGATAGATCTAACAAGGCAATGGTCTTTCCAACAGTAATTGATTCCATGCATGGCCCTCTGATGCGGACATCCTTCCGATCTCAGGCTCTAACAATAACATTGTCAAGAAGGTGCAAATGCCTGGAGTGAGGGTGGCTCCAGGTGATCTTATACTTCTCACTTTGTCTAAAGAGGGTGTTCGTGATAACAAGGCCATGTTCTACATATATGCTCAGGAGGAGGATGCCACTGAAGTTGGCCTTTCCTACTACTCCTTTTCTGATAGAGCCATTCCAGAGATCTGACTCACGCCTGACTCTAGCGTTAAAAACTCCAAGGAGCATGATCTTGTCCTCCTTGGGAATGTTGGTCAAGACTCTGTCAAGATCTGTATAGAATTGTTCCTTGATATCTTCAATATGCACTGATGACAGCAGTAGACTGGTTATTGCTGAGCTTAGGACGAAGAATCATAAGACATTCATTGATTCCTACAGGAAATTCTGTAAGCTGACTGACAAACTTATTCCTAATT